AATATGGAATGTTTTAAATAATGGGTGTACATTTACAAGGCTCCGTCGTACATTTACTCAGAAAAACAAAGTTGTTTTTTTATAGTAATAACTGAAGAAAAATAGCTAAAAAATAAAACATGTATTTTTCAAATCGAAATATTTTTGAATAAAACATGTAATGAAAGATTACACAGGCTGTCTTTTTTTTCTTTTTTTTTCAACTTCTTACGAGTGCATCGAGTATACAATCTGCGTGCAACCGTAAAAAATATAGTGGTTTATATAGCCTTATATGCAACATTGTACAACGAAATTACCGTTCGTACGTTTAGTTGAACTTACATCACGTTCAAAAGTAACTCTTTGCACTCGGAACTCCAACCGCATGATATAATAACGTATAACGTATCGACCATCGTTGTATAAGTTGGAAATTTGCACAGTGTTAAAAGCACCATTGTGTGTGATATAAATTTTATTTTTTATTTATTTTTAGCGAAGTGTACATACGTGCTGGGGATGACAGTAGTACAAAGGTATAAAATTACTTTGATATCTGTATAGTATTATTCTCTCTGTTCTCCACTGTCCCTCTTTCTCTTTCTCTCTTTTGTTCCTTTCCTCTCTGCACATTTAATACTAAATATACTAAACTGAAATTGAATTCTCATTCGAGATATGTATATATTCGCCCATATTCTCGGCGTACATTTAACGTTAAACGTAACATTTTCATTTTATATTTAAATTGTAAAAAAGTGCGATCTCTTTTAATATTGGATAAACGAAATTTATATTTGGATATCCATATTATGTATCTAGACTCATCTAAATTTATAATCTAAATTTATAAATAGATCAACGTATAATTAACATATTATTTCTAAAAGTAAAATAATTCTGAATTTCTAAGTACGAAGCGTATACTTGATATTTTTTTTAGTTGTGTTTCATCATCATTGCGTCACCTTCTCTTTGCCACTAACAGCGCTCGATAATTTCGTGTAAATGCTGTATGTAAGACCGAAAAAGGATCCAAGCCACTCGAGAAATTGGCGACCCACCGTCTTCGGAAGTTGAACAGTTGTTCCTGGTGTCACGATTTCCACCTCATTTTTTTTGTCTAACTCTTCGTCTTGCAGCTCCAGTTGTCCCAGAGGCTGAATGTCGTTGAACCAATCGTCGTCGGGCAGCATTTTTGTATTGTTAGAGCTCTTTTCTTTAGTGAGGTGCACGTTATTTCCGTCCGCTTTAATTGTCGGTTTTATTTCGAGGATAGGCGTGTTCTTTTTGATACTGTTCGAATTCTTGCTTGTGTATTCTTTCAGCAGAGACAGCGATTTTATTTGATCCAACCAGCTGTTATTAGGATATCTGAGATTCGTATAGTTGTTTATCGAGTCGGCCTGAATTATTTTCAAAGCTTGCGAATCGGGATTCGACACGTTCTTTGCCAGGATTTTTTCGACGTAGCTGGTATTGTCGGATTGACGGAAAACGAAATCGTACGTGGTGCGTACTTTCTCCAGAAATTTTTCAAATGGTTTTGTGAAGTTGCTTAATTGTTCATGATATGTCGTTAATCCTTCCACGGGGAATAATTTAGATATTTGCGGCTTCGCTTGCACTCTTGTGAGAAAGAGCTGTGAGATATCGAAAAAAGTTACGAGAATTTATATACACGTCTTGATAAATTTTGTTTTAATATTATACTAAAAAATTATATTTTTCTGCATATTTTTTCGCTAAACTTTATTTATCATAGAATATTTTTATATTATAAAGAGTATTTTTATATTATGAAAATTATCACAATAAAGATTAAAAATGTTGTGTTTTATACAGTTGGGTGAATTTTTTCGACAAAATAAATTTTATCAGATTGTAATGTTGTAATGTGTCGCGAATAGATGTTACAACATGTGCAATCATGTCGCAACATACTTTTGCCACTCACTGAATCTGAAAACAGCGTCGTACGGTAGTTTCATTTTCACGAAAATTACAAGTCGCGTCAGCAACTGAAGTTGCAATCGGCAATTTTTACGGTCTGATTAAGAATGAGCGACGAAACATCTGTCACTAGTATTCAGGAAATAATTGTGTTTAAAACTTCTTTGAGTGTGTCGTTTTTTGGCATCAGGAAGTTTAATTTACTTGATAAAATATCTCATCTACGAAAACTATCAAGTGTCTCAGCATAATTTTTAGCGAAGATAAATTATATGTCAGATATAACTGTTTGCAGCAAAAGTTTAAAATTTCCATTAAAAAAAAGCAATTAAGAAGATTTCTGAAAAATGATTAATGCAATATTTGACAGACATGTTGAGTGGAACCGTAATTTTTGTAACATTGTGAAAGTGATGATTGATGTGTAAAGTATCAGAATTTAAATATATTAAAGAAATTATTCTGTTTATGCTGACATTAAGATAGTATAAATATAATTTTAGTGAAAAAATGCAAATAAAAATTTGCAATAGGAATAATTTCATGATTTGTGCGAATTTATAATAAATTGAAATATTAATCAGTTCTGATACTCACGCAAAGAATACAATATCCCAAGAGCTTCATTCTTCGAACCGTATTTTCCGATATGACGATTTATGGCTTCTTTGGACGATTCAAATGATCGACTGAAGGCTCCCTTTGATTTCAAAACTCCTTTATACTTTCATACGACGCAAGAGCGTAAGCGTGCACCACGATTGATTGGTTTTCGTGGCCTATGCCCATTGTCTTTTACCTGCGCCTCTGCGAATCGTCCGCGAACACAGTTGCCTAACGAAATTGATAGTCGGAGCACGCATGGTTGCTTCGCGGCCAGTCGACTCTGGTCATCCGAATATGTACGATATTGGGTCCCTGATTTTTATGGCAGGTCAAGGTATTACCAAAAGCACGTCATCACTTCGATCGTTGAAATTTATATAACACGAAAGTTGATGGATGGATTCCGCGTTAATCCATTTTCATCAAACGCTAATGCAACGATCCGACAGCTTTTTCTGTTGGACAAGTTAGTGGTTATTTTATTATATATAGGTATATGTAATAAATATGCGACATGTGTTTGGGAAGTAAAGAAAACTCGCAAGGGTGGTTTTTCTTGCTTCTGACATAATCAGAATGCGAAATTTATTTAACAAAACGGTATATTTGCGGATAACAGAATGTACACAAGAGTAAAATATATTCATATAGTGTAAATTTACAATAAGAATCCCAACGGGCAAGTTTTTACGCTTACCTAGATCATTGGCGGTCATGATACAATTATATTCAAATATTTTAAATTTCTTTGTACAAGTTCACGCGGTCTAGTCCTTTATTTTTTTGAAATCAAGAATCTAATCTTGTGCTTTATCTTTATACTCGAACACTCAGATGTGAAAATATTGTAGTGTAAAAGAAAGAAAGAATAGTTGCGTCCTTCCACGAAATCTCCCCTAAACTTCCACGAAATTAATTTACTCACTGTCTTGTGGACAATAAAATCTTTTGTTGTGGTTCGGCGAGCATTAATTATGTAAATGAATGTATGAATCAATCGTACGAGGCATGAGTAAAGAATGTATTTGTTTATACGCCCGTTCCGATCATTACGTATCCGATAATGTGGAGAGAAAGGGAGATTATCGAAGATGACATTTTAATTAGCGATGGAATAGTAGCAGAGAGAAAGGGGCGGGCTAAAGTGGCCGTTAAAATTTTTATGGGAGTTTGCGTTGAAAGGCTGATGTGCGAGGGAGAAAAGTAGCACTCGGAGATAAATCATGAAAGATTTAATGGTTGAGCCGAGTTTTGCGAAGTAAATGACGTTAATGGAAAGATAAAAAGGATTGATTACACAGACGAGCAATTACGATACTTAGCTACTACAAATGTGCATAAGAAGTTTTGTTTTCTTTCCGAAATCGACCGCAAATAACTAGAAGCGAGTTCTGTGGAAAGTTGTAAATAGCAAATATAGTAGAATAGCACAATTTTTTTTAACAAAATGCAATCGTTTTATATTTAAATATGTAGAATTGCTCTTCACTCCGCGTATCTTGTCCGTTAGTTGAGGAATTTTGTGCGCGAGGATCGCGGCATCGTGCAATCTGTTGAAATATTGTTGGTTAACAATTTTATATATATATATAAACAATTTTATATATATGTATAATTCGATTAGAACTCACAAGTATTTAATAGGGAAAAGATTGATGTCTCAATGCAGATTGCACGATTTTTCAGTTGCACTGCGCGATCACTCGGAACAGTGAAAATTGTATAAGCTATAACTTGCCATTTAGTAAGTAAAAGGTTTCGGATTTAACACTATAGCGAATCAAAGTATCTAACGTTTAAGAGAATGTTAAGAAGGTGAAAATTGTAGTTTCTTAATCGTTAAAAGTTCCTATTGATATTTCTAGAGTCGAGAACTTTCGAAAATTGACAACGAAAGGATTTTCGTGTTTACAGAGCAAGAGTAGAAATATCGAAACAATATATACATATATTGATTGTCGAGTAAAATGAAATTCCCTAATCGACTATTAATGCCTCGGTTGAGCGTCACAAGGACTCTTGGTCGCGATCGAGTGCAGAGATTCATCAGAAAGAGAATACGTCTAAATCGCTCGATATAATCTATGTTAGGTGTATTTACTTGGTATAGAGAGAGAGAGAGAGTGCATATACGCTATAATCTAATTTTTTACTGAGAAAGTGCGTGTCTAGTACAGGATAACAAAATATCTTGTGCAATCTGTGATAAAGAGTAAATCGCAATGTGTGAAACGCATTTACGGGTGTATATGTGTGTATGTATCTATAACCATTTAAATAACGATAATTGTATACCCGTAACAATTCGGAAAATGTCTACTGACTGCATCGAAATGTGTATTTGTTAATTAGTCTCTGTGAATAGATTACCCAAGTTAATATACACACGTCAAGTTGAATTCTATTACAATTTATTTTTCAATATAGGGGCTCAATTGTAATGAAACAATTCAAAAGTTAAAAATTACGAATTAGAATAAAAATGTCGATGGGATAAAAGCTCACTGCATATATGCTCGATTTATTAATTCCTTTGTCATGCAAATCGAATTAATAAAATGTGTTTTTTTATTAAATGGTATTTTTAAGAATTTCTACATCTATCGTCAGAGTAATTAATATTGCACGTAATATTACGCATGATAGGCATTTCAAGGCATTTATTATCAGTAGACACTTTATCCGTATTCCTGGAAGGATTCCCAGATCCGTATTCGCATCGTTTCTTCAACTCTAAACGCAAACCTGCCCAGGTTTCGAATTAGGCAGGCGTATTTAGGGCGCGACGATGCAATGCAGATCTTAATTTATGAGCCGCCAAATATATCTAGTAAATGTAAACGTACAATTAGGAAGTGTATGTATATTGTTTTTCATGGCGATTAATTCGCTACTCTCATAAGGCTCGTTATTCCTGGCCTATGCAGTAATACGAAGGATATTGGTTCGCATAGACTCGCGCTTTGGAATCGTCGCGGCCGAATGAAAGCGCTAGTGCTTGATAGTGTACGAGAGTAATTATATTCTTATCAACTACCGTCGCAGTCTCCACATGGCAATTGTATGCACGAAATAGATTGAAATGTGCGCGAGGCTCGGGACACGATACGTCTCGAACCGCTACGTGAGCTCTGAAAGCTATCTCTTAAATTCATACGTTTGTTTTATGGTCCCCCGTGTCTCAATAAGGTCCATCGAAATCACGAGTCTCTCTTTGGTTGCCTGTTCTTGGTCATGCGTCTGACGCCGTTTGTTTTAATCGCAAAGAATTACATATAAATTATACATGTCAAACAAAACAAATTCAATTCAATCAAAT